GTTGTATTGATATTGAATAGTGGATTTTGATCAAAAGGAGAAAATCAATCATTAGATTGATATTATCATTGTATCACTTTCAAAATTACAAAAAATACAAAGTTATTTCTATTGTGACTTGTGATCCAGGATTGTTGAACACAAGGATTAGTGTTTGCAAGAGGATTGTTCTTGCACACTAGTTGTTGATTAGTTGTTAGATTGTAGGCCTCGCCGGTTGATGGTGTGATAGGTTGTACTTTCTAAAACTATAGTGAAAACTCTATTTCATGTGGAAAGGGGAGTGGAGTACCTTCGGATTGTGAAGGGAACCACTATAAATCTCCGTGTTCATTTTTATTTCCGCCTTTACTGCTTTCCTCACCAAGAACTTAAAGAAGAAAATTTCAAGAGTTTCGAAAAACCAGAAAAAGTTTCTTAAGCCTAATTCACCCCCCTCTTAGGCATACTCTGAACTTACAATTAGCATCAGAGCAGGTTAAGGTAACCTGTTCCTAAAAGATTCAGTATGGCTTCCGCTAGCACCAACTCGGTTTTCAAAGACGGCGAAAGTAGTAACAAACCACCATTATTCTCTGGAGAATATTTTGATTTCTGGAAAATTAGAATGAGGGCACATCTTGAAGCCCAAGGAGAAGGTATATGGGAAGCAATCGAAGAATGACCACACAATCTAGTAAATGTGGTCAATGGCGTTGGAACCACAAAGTTGAAAAGCACGTATGATGAAGACGATAAGAAAAAGACTCTTAATGAAAAGAAAGCAATCAATGTACTCCAAAGCGCTCTTAGTATGGACGAGTTCTTCCGTGTATCACAGTGCAGATCAGCAAAGGAGATATGTGGCACCTTGGTGGAAACGCATGAAGGAACCATATAAGTAAAAAGATCAAGACTCAATACGTTAAGTCAAGAATATGAGATGTTCCGTATGCAGCCCGGTGAATCTATTGTTGCCTTACAAAAAAGATTCGTTCATCTAAAAATTCACTTGATTGCTCTCGGGAAGACCTTCACCAATGATGATCTCAACCTGAAAGTCCTAAGATCCTTAACAAGAGAAATGCAACCAAAAGTGACAGCTATTTCGGAAAAGAAGAGTCTCTCAACGATGACATTCACATCCTTATTTAACAAACTTCAAGAGCATGAATTGGAACTTGGAAGACTCGAGAAACACGAAAGTCAAGAAAAGAAGTCCAAAGGGATTGCCTTGAAGATTGACACAAAGGATGACAAAGACGACGAGACTTCCGAAGATGAAAGTTTCATGCTTCTTGTAAAGAAGCTTGGTAAGTTTTTTTAATAATAATAAAAATCCATCTTTTCCTAAAAAGAATAGACATTTTAGGAAAAAGGATGCTTCCATATCGAACCAAGAAGTCACCTGCTACGAATGTGGGAAACAAGGTCACATAAAGCCGGATTGCCCAAACTTGCAAAGAAAGGAGGATTCAAAGGTAAGAAGGATTTCAAAAATAAAAAGGCGTATGTTGCCTGGGACGATAACGAGATAAGTTCATCATCGGAGTCGGAAAGCGATAAATGTACAAATATGGCTCTTATGGCGTCACATCATTCCGATGAAGAAATTGATGAGGTATGCTTGAAGACAACTTCTAATCAATGGTATCTTGATAGCGGTTGCTCTAAGCATACGAAGGGAGACTTAAACAAATTTTCAAGTCTATCATTAAAGGCCAAAGGATACGTTACTTACGGTGATGATAATAAACAAAAAATTCTTGGAGTTGGAACCGTTGGTGCACCTCCATGTACAATCATCAAAGACGTTCTTTATGTGGAAGGCCTTAAATACAACCTACTTAACATAAGTCAATTGTGTGACAAAGGGTTCCGAATCAACTTCACAAAGGATGAATGTTTGATAGAACATGAAGTCACCCATGACATCTTGCTAAAAGGTACAAGATTTAATAATATTTTTATGATCTCTTTTGATGACTCTTCCTTGAAGGTAAAATGTCTTATGGCAAACAACAACGAGGCGTGGCTTTGGCATAAAAGATTTGCTCACATTCACATGGAGCATTTAAACAAATTGATAAAGCATGATCTAGTTGTTGGTCTTCCGAAGATAAAATTCATCAAGGATAAATTATGCGATGCATGTCAAAAGGGGAAACAGATCAAGACAACTTTCAAATCCAAGCAAATGGTTTCTACATCAAGACCACTTCAATTGTTGCACATGGATCTTTTTGGTCCATCGAGAACGAAAAGCTTTGGAGGTAGTATTTATGCTTTAGTTATTGTTGATGATTTCTCTCGATACTCTAAACTTACAATTGGTAGCAGAAGACGTGGATATGTCTGATGAAGATGTTTAGAAAATATTTGTTTCTGTTGTTTTTATTGTTTTTCTTTTCGGATATTGTTTAAGTTGTTTATTTCGTGTGTAACCGTATAATATTTGTTGCATTTTATATGTGTTACATTGTTTATTTCAATCTATTTTGCTGTGCTTGATTATGTATGCCGATATTGCTTTTGTTTGGTTTTGAAAGCTCCTTCCTTTTTGTTAATGACAAAGGGGGAGAAGAGCTTGCTGTCTAATATCTCTCTGTGCAGAATTTTTGCCTCTGTTTAGATAGGGGGAGTTGCTGGACATAGGGGGAGAAACAAGAAGCAAGCCTAGAACAAACATCGTCAAAAAATATCGCACAAGACGCACTTGTTTGTCATCATCAAAAAGGGGGAGATTGTAGAAGCACACTTCAATATCAAGGTTTTGATGATGTCAACAAAGACTCAAGCTCATTCCATGATTGCAAGAAAAAAGTCAAAGCTTTCAAAATGATCAAGATTCTTACACTATATACCCATGGGGGTATATGCACTGAGAAGCTACTTGCACTATATACCCGTGGAGGTATATAGACTGAAGATAAAACCAGAAGCATATCAAGACTATGAAATGTGTCAAGCAATTCAAGAATAATGTGCAAATGTTCCTACAACTTTCAAGATTTGGACTCAAGCTTCGGTATATCAATTTTCACTCCTTTAATTGATATACAAGTGTTCAAATATTTTAACATGATACCATATTGCATTTGCATATTTTTAAAATCATTTGAATTGGTATAACACTTTTTAACTCAAGCATTTTTCAGAGTTTTAACAGTGTTAATCGATTAACCATATGGGTTAATCGGTTAACGGCCTTAAATTTTGAATTCTCTGGGCCAACGTTCAAGTGTTAACCGATTAACCTATAGGGTTAACCGATTAACACTGAACGAATTTTGAAAAATTGTTGCTGTTAAAATTCAAATGTTGTTTGAATATTATACCTTTTCATGTTTTGAATCATACTCAATTATAACTTTTTGAAATGGTGTTTTGCTCATATAAATTTTGAACATTTCAAAATTGAAAAACAACCTCCAATAATTTTCAAAATATTCATTGAATCAAATTCACTACTTTTCAAATATTTTCAAATATTTTCAAAAAGTGTTCATATTGTTCATACAATTTCATATCCAGTTTTTGAACACTTGTACTGATATTGAAGAGTGGATTTTGATCAAAAGGAGAAGATCAATCATTAGATTGATATTATCATTGTATCACTTTCAAAATTACAAAAAATACAAAGTTATTTCTATTGTGATTTGTGATTCAGGATTGTTGAACACAAGGGTTAGTGTTTGCAAGAGGATTGTTCTTGCACACTAGTTGTTGATTAGTTGTTAGATTGTAGGCCTCACCGGTTGATGGTGTGATAGGTTGTACTTTCTAAAACTATAGTGAAAACTCTCTTTCATGTGGAAAGGGGAGTGGAGTACCTTCGGATTGTGAAGGGAACCACTATAAATCTCTGTGTTCATTTTTATTTTCGCCTTTACTGCTTTCCTCACCAAGAACTTAAAGAAGAAAAATTCAAGAGTTTCGAAAAACCGGAAAAAGTTTCTTAAGCCTAATTCACCCCCTCTTAGGCATACTCTGAACTTACACAAAGTACAACAAAACGGTACAAAAGTAAAGACAAGCAAAAGAAATACAAGACTTAGTAAAATAAAATGCTTAAGTATAGAAAGTGGACGCATGCATACATTTTCCAGAGTTCTTACTCGTTTCTCTCACGCTTGTACTTTGAGTGTATTCTCCTAATGCAACAAAATGCGACCCCTAGAACTAAAAATGACACTTCCTTAGATAGGCAAAAAGTGACAGTTGTTCTTCTGCTCCCCGTCCCTGTGCCGCCACGTGTCCACCCACGTTCGTCCACTACCTTGGTAACTTCCCATGTTTTCGTTTGTTGCATGCTTGTTCGTTCGCCTGAAGCTTTTGGTATTCCTTCGACTGAGATGTCCATCTATCAAGTGTGCTTCAACGTTCTCCTCTACAGGTCAACTGTCGAGGATGCTTCGTCAGGGTTTTGCAAGACTCTCTGTCAACCATGTTTTGCGTTCTTTGTCGTAATTTATCAATCAACAATATCGCCATATACAATTTCTCACTAACCGATGAATCTCTTCTCTACATTACCTTATGAATCACATTTGTCATTATCACATAAATTCGAATAACCTTAATAATACTTTTCGCTACTCCTTCTGCATAAGATAAATACTTAGTTCTCTAAATTGCAAATTTTAAATTGATTTGATCAACAATATCCTGAACTTTCACATACACTAACATATTATAATATAGTATTATACTTTTAATTAGTTTTATATAAAAATTTACGAAATAATTTGATGGGTGATATATTTATTTACTCTTGTTAAACGAGTGATGAGAGCGGGTTGTTAGTGGGCAATAGTGATGGAGCGGGCCTAAGCCCATGGATTATTTGGGTTGGATTGAAGAAGAAAAATGATTTGATGAATGCGTGCGAAGTACGCGTGGACAGTTTCTTTCTTCCATTTCACCGCTTGTAATCGTAATCGTAATCGTAAGTGCAGTTGCAGAAGCAAAAGATAATACCAATTCACCACCCAAGCCCTACTACACTAGGCGTTAAGATGCCGAAAAAGATGGGTGTCAATTCTAAGGCCGAGGTGGCCAGGGCTCGCAAAAGCGCCGCTGAAACGGAGAAAAAGGAACGGGAGACTCGAGAGAAGGAGGAACAATACTGGCGAGAGGCTGAGAGTTCAAAGCCACGCGCCGCCAAGAAGAGGGAGGAAGAGGCAGATAAGAAAGCCGAAGCGGCGGCCAAGCGAGCGGAGGTTCGTCGATTGGCGGAGCTGGAGGAGAAAGAGCTCGAGAAAATGATCAAAAAGCCCGACAAGAAGGCAAGCAGGGTGTCGATCCCTGTACCGAAGGTGACGGAGGTGGAGCTAAGGAAGCGGCGCGAGGAGGAGCAGGCTCTAGCTCAGAAGAAGGCAGCGGAAGCGAATAAGCGTACGGCCGCGGAGGAGGAGTACGAGAGAGTGGTGCTTGTGTCAAACACAAATCGCGATGATTCGATCATTGAAGCTAGTACTCTTGACGAAGCCATCGCTAAGATGAGCATCGATAACAACTTACCCCTGGACAGGCATCCTGAGAAACGCCTCAAGGCTTCCTTCAAGGTATTATCATTTATCTCTTATTCTCCCTTCTTTAACTTCTTAATGGAACCCTAATTTTGATTTCATTGATTTATCAGGCGTTCGAAGAAGCAGAACTTCCGATATTGAAGCAAGAGAAACCGGGACTTACTTACACACAATACAAGGATATGATTTGGAAGCTTTGGAAGAAATCTCCTGATAATCCTCTTAATCAAGTCAGTCACCACCACCACCGCAAACTCAATCTTATATTTAGTTTTTTCATGATTCCTTTATTTGTGTTGGCATCTTACAAATTTGTTTCCCTTAATTGACAGAATGCTGATTGAATGAATGAATGAAATGATCTACCGTGGCAGGCCTGTAACTGACAGTTTTCATTGGCCATTTGCATAGCATTTCCATCTCAAATCCATGATTAAGTTGTCGTTAACTCATTATAGGCTTCTTTGTTACCTTTCTTATTGGTATCCATCTGTAAGCAGTTTATGAGTTTCAGTTTTTGTATATTATTACAAATGGGATTTCATTTTCATGCTGCTTCTGCTATAACAAATAAGCTCCTGAGGTTGTATGTACTCTTTCTTTTATCAACTGCTCCTAAATCTTAAATATACATTCAATATTCTTTTGAGGCTGGACTTGTACACTTGTTTGCCTAACCCACTTTTCTTTCAATGAAAGCAACCATCAACAACTGAGCATGATCGACTTGTTAATACAGTTTCTGGAAATGTAATTGAATGTTACTAACTACTTATATCTGTCATTAGCGGATCTATTTGATTTGATCTTTGAAAAACATAAATGTAAGGATTGTCTGATAGGTAGCTGTTAGGTGTGGTGTGGGTATTTGATCATACAATTCACAGCAAATCAGATTAACACATCATAGATATTCATATCCCCAAAAAAAAAAGGTTGGAAATAGCACACTGAATGTGTGTAGGTAGAAGTGTTCTAATGGAAATCAGCAGGTGGGATGCATTGAAGAGTGTCGGTTCCCTCAACTTCCCACTATTTTTATCTTGTGCATTTGAATTCTCAAGTTTAGACTGTTTTGTAGCCTCACTGCTGTTTTGACACAACAAACTGAGGAATAGGTAAAAGGAGTAGGAAACCAGGTGGAACGTGTGAAATATTTGCTGAGAAGAATGGGGTATGATAATATGCATAAATTCCATCTTTGATAAGAATTGTCTTAGCTTGATTATTAAGAGTGGTGGCATTAAATATGGACAAGGAAACTATTTTTCCTTGTGGTTCAATTGGCCTTGTAGCCACGGGTTTAATGTCTATAATATTGAGTGAGAGTGGTTGAGAATCATCCATGAAGGGATACCTGGTATGTAAGTAATTTTTCAGGGTTCTTTAATCAGATACTCATGGATCATTGTGCACAACAATTTTTAACACTTCGATTGATCTGTAGTGCACCATAACATAATTCACCTTTTCTGTTGTTTTCCCTTTCTTCCATAGTCCCCTTTGTCACCATTTCAAGGCCTATACCATTCAGATCCTTCATTGGTAAAAAAAAGGCATTCAAATCATTCTCCGGTTCCAGAAGTTTTACATTTTTTGACTATATCCATTATAAAAGTCAAGTTGTATCTGCTACCTACTGTACTCCATTCAATTTTTCTGTTTAAGAGCTTAAGAAATCAGTATGTGCTCAATAAAGTCAATAAAATACTTTATAATTATACAACGTTTCAGCAAAATTCATATTTGAGCGATTTACCATTTGCAACATTTCGAATAGGTTAAAACATAAATATTATCTTACAATTGTTTCCTATAAACTCTATTCGTCGCAAATATAACTTTAAACTCTTACTATTCAACTCACTCTTTGTGGACAACCACTCATGTTATAACATGGTTTATCTACTCCTATTTTGCTACCATTTCCTGCTTAATCTTCCATGGAAAAATTAATCTTTTGAAAACAAATTTATAAATAAACTCAATTGTTTTAATGAGGTTTTTCTTCATTAATCTTTGTTTTAGTCTCTATAATAATATTTGATTTGACTTTTGTGATAAGGATTTAAGCTAAAAAGATATTATAAAGAGAAATGCTAATAATACTCTCTTTTTAAAATTTCCTCTAATACTCACTCTTTTAAAAAGTAAGGACTAACACATATTTCAATCCGTAAATAAATGAAATATACATATTTATTTAAATTGTTAATATATTAAAAATGAATTAATAGTATATAAAATGGAAAGGATAAAGCAAGAAAAATAAAATAATGTGGCGAATAAGCAATTTGGATGGGAGATGAATATGTGGCAGGGTTGGGAGGGAAAACTCAAAAGTGAAAAACGATATGGTTATCCGTTCATTTCTTGATTAATTATTAGTCAATCGCCATGGAAGGGTTGGCGGTTCAACTCCCACGCTTCCTCCCATTCCCGCTTCCTAAATATCCCATACTGATTTCTACTTCCAATTCCACCTCCACCGGTAATTACTTACTCCTCTTCATTCATTAATTCTACTCACTCAACGTTACTAATCATTCTTTCTCTTTGTAACAATCAGGATTCATTTCTCTTAAACAACTACAACTATCTCCACGTTGTCGTCGTTTTCCCTTTTGTTCATCATCATCGCATTCCCAGCCTCAAGCCGAACAACTCACCGTGCTCGCAGCTGAGAATGATAACTGTGTCACTGGAGATTCAATACGCCAAAGATTTCTCGCTTTTTATGCTTCCCGTGGTCACAAGCTCCTTCCTAGTGCTTCTCTAGTCCCAGATGACCCCACTGTTCTCCTCACTATCGCCGGAATGCTTCAATTCAAACCCATCTTCCTTGGAAAGGTATATTATTATTACTTTCTCTATTGACAATAACCACTCCTAAATCACTCCTCCATCCATAGGTTCCCAGACAATTCCCTCGTGCTACTACTGCACAAAGGTGCATTCGTACTAATGATATCAACAACGTTGGCCAAACCTCCCGACATCATACCTTCTTTGAGATGCTTGGAAACTTCAGCTTTGGTGATTACTTTAAAAAACAAGCTATTCAATGGGCATGGGACCTATCTACCGTTGAGTCTGTAACATCCCTTACTCTTCTTATTTCCTATTCATTCTTCTTTCTACTTTATTTTCATCTCTTCTATTCACTTTTAGGTTTCGTTTGCCTCCAGACAGATTATGGATTAGTGTTTATCAAGATGATGATGAAACTTTTCAGTTATGGTCTCAACAGGTTACCTAAATTTGTCCATCCTCTTATTTCCTTACTTTACATCTCTTTTTTATTCAATTCTATGTTCTTCATTTCTCGCCAGGTTGGTGTCCCCGTTGAGCGAATTAAGAGGTTGGGTGAGGATGACAATTTTTGGACCAGTGGAGCCACAGGTCCCTGCGGTCCATGCTCCGAAATTTATTATGATTTTCATCCTGAGAGGGGATATGACGATGCCGTAAGTATGATACAGTTAGAAATTGAGTTATTCCAAATCACTTCAATGACAATGTTTTACATTTCATGGGCTGGGTTGGGGATGGAAGCAGGATCTTGGGGATGATACACGGTTTATAGAGTTCTACAATCTAGTATTCATGCAATACAACAAAAAAGAAGATGGTTCTCTTGAACCACTAAAGCAGATGAACATAGATACCGGCCTCGGTCTCGAGCGCATGGCTCGCATTCTTCAAAAGGTATTGCACTCTTATGAACTGTTGTACAAGTGACCATTTGTAATTTTACAAGTGTTTCTAAGAAGCTTGAACTAGAACTCTGATATTTCTGCACCAGTTTTTCTTGTTCCATACTTTACACCCTCACTTGCATGTTGAGAAAAAATGGGGCAAGGAAAAAAGGTGTGAATGAAACATTACTCACACTACTATCATTTTCATTTGCTCCTCAAGTGCTTTTTATATTTATTAAGTGTTCACTGCAGGTTCCAAACAACTATGAAACTGACTTGATTCTCCCCATTATAGAGAAGGCATCTGAATTAGCAAATGTTTCATATGGAGTTTCTGATGATCAGACCAAGAGGTATTTGAAAGTAAGTTGACTATCTTCATACAAGTTGCAATAGAATTTTAAATTGTTTTATTTCAATCCGTCTTTCTGATTACATTTGGTGTATGCTATTTTATTCCTTTAGATTGTAGGAGATCACATGCGTGCAATTGTGTTTCTCATATCCGATGGTGTTGTCCCATCCAATGTTGGAAGAGGTTATGTTGTTCGACGACTTATCAGAAGGGTTGTTCGCACAAGCAGGTTGCTTGGTATAAAAGGGGATGGTAGAGGAGACCTTGAAGGAGCATTTTTACCTATTATTGCCGAGAAAGTAGTAGAATTAAGTACGCACATTGATGCTGATGTGAAGAACAGAGCACCCCGTATCCTTGAGGAGTTGAAGAGAGAAGAGCTTCGGTTTGTTCAGACGCTTGAGAGAGGAGAAAAGTTGCTTGAGGAAAAGCTTGCTGATGCTATATCAAGTGCTGCAAGAAATGGCACTGTACCTTGCTTGGCTGGTGAAGATGTGTTTATTTTGTATGATACTTTTGGTTTTCCAATGGAAATAACAAAAGAAGTGGCTGAAGAACGTGGTGTGAGTATTGACATGGATGGTTTTGATATTGAGATGGAGAAGCAAAGGCGGCAGTCTCAAGCCGCCCACAATACTGTCAAGCTTGCCATTGGAAGTGGGACAAATATTGCAGACAATATACCTGACACTGAATTTATTGGATATGATAGTCTTTATTGTAAAGCCATCATAGCAAGCCTAGTGGTAAATGGTGATCCAGCTGTACGTGTTACTGAAGGGAGTAATGTAGAAATTTTGCTGAACAAGACTCCATTTTATGCTGAATCTGGAGGACAAATTGGAGATCATGGTTTTCTATATATTTCAGAGGGTGAGAATCAACCTAAAGCTGTTGTGGAAATAATAGATGTTCAGAAGTCTTTTGGTAATATATTTGTTCACAAGGGCACAGTCCATAAGGGTGTTGTTGAGGTTGGCAAACAAGTGGAAGCAACAGTAGATGTTAAGTTGAGGCAACGAGCTCAGGTACAAAAATTGTGGACCCACTCATTTTTTTTAGGTGAATCTTCAGTCGTAATAAAATTTGATCAAGACAAATCCTTGCATCATTGTAGTCCTGCATATTTTTAAATTCGAGAATGTAATGTAATTGGTGCTTTGCAGGTTCATCATACTGCTACTCATTTACTACAAGCTGCACTTAAAAAAGTCATTGGTCAGGAGACCTCTCAAGCTGGTTCTTTGGTGGCTTTTGATCGTCTCAGGTTTGATTTCAACTTCCACCGTCCACTTATTGACAGCGAGCTTGTAGAAATTGAAGTGCTGATCAACGGATGGGTTGAGGATGCAATTCTCCTTCAGACCAAAGTGATGCCCATTGCTGATGCAAAAAGGGAAGGAGCAATTGCAATGTTTGGAGAAAAGTATGGTGAAGAGGTTGGATTTACTACAAACACTTTTGATATTTAACTTTGAAATTCTTTTAGCTTGCTTCTGTTTTGGTAGTTCGAAGTATTTAAATTACCACAAAGTGTGTACTTCTAAATAGGTCAGAAATCTGACCTTCAGGGATGATTTACTAGTAATATTCAGGAATCATCGTGTCTTCGAATCCAAATTCTGTCATCGGTACTACCATTTGTAGATTTCAGTTACATTGTCATTTCAGATGCACCAATAGTTATCCCTCCCCTGTCACGTGCACCAGCACCTACACATGGACTACAGTAGTGAAAAATATATGGTATATTAATATACTTGATTCTGAAAACATTTTAAAATTATTCAGCTTTTGTAACACTGAAACTGTACAAATAGCATATCAAATGCTATAAACTAATGAGACGCGTTTCGTTACCATACAACTCTCGTTATTAAATCTACTATAAACTAGTCAAATCTGCTATAAGTTAGTGGATCAAAGTTACCAATTTGAGTCTATATGTTCCATATCTTAGATATGTATTTTAAATAATATTAAAACTTCTTAATTTTTAGGGAAAATACTATGAATATATAAAATACAATATATATCAATATAGTATTTATCCTGCTGATATGATTTTTATGCTGTTTCTTGTTTGTTGTCAAAATTGGTGTTGTGCAGGTACGTGTCGTGGACGTTCCTGGAGTATCAATGGAACTTTGTGGTGGAACTCATGTCAGTAATACTTCTGAAATTCGTGGTTTTAAAATAATTTCAGAGCAGGGTATTGCATCTGGTGTCAGGCGAATAGAAGCTGTAGCTGGGGAAGCTTTCATTGAATATGTCAATGCCCGGGATTCTTATCTGAAACAGTTATGTTCAACTCTCAAAGTATGTTCACGTTCTTAGTTTTTCACTTTTCCCTAAGTTTTAAAAATTGAATTTTTTCCTAAGGCACCATAGTTTTAAATTGAATTTTTTCCTTAGTTGTTCAACTCTCAATTAATATTCATTTTCATGTACAGGCACCATAGTTTTAAATTTTTGTTATACTGATAATATCAACTGAGTCAAGCAATTAAATTTGTGCACATAAGCATCCATTTGTTTTCTTTGCCTTTTATTGGGGCTGAGTAGTGAGTACATTACAGAATTAGGGTTGAGCAACAAACAATTATATTTTGTACAAGATGAGATTCAATCATAATTGGGTAATGTTTCCCACATGCTATTGAAGTATTTACTAGGATGCTTTCATTACTTTCACGCCTTATAAATATTTTCTAGTTTATTTTGTTATGAATTAAATATATAAGATAATGGAACTTTCTGCCTTTTTTCATGCTCATCTCTGGGGTTCTTGTTGCATGGATTTCCCTTATTTCTATAGTAATCTTTAACATGAGACTTTAATAAAATAAAAATTCAATTGCCATAGTTGACTTTGTCCTTTTCTGCATCTAGTACCGTTTCTTTCCTCAAATCACTTATAATCAACTTTTGAAGGTGAAACCTGAAGAAGTAACTGCAAGGATAGAAAACCTTTTAGAGGAGTTACGGGCAGCAAGAAACGAAAACTCGGCTGTGCGCGCAAAAGCAGCAGTCTACAAAGCTTCAGTTATTGCAAGCAAAGCGTTTCTCGTGGGGAATTCAAACCAGTACAGGTAATATTTCTCCATCTTGTAGTATTTGTTGCTAGGGCCTTCTCCCCCATTAGCAACACGTTAAATAATTTAGTGCCTCTAAGATACAAACTACTGTATATAACTTGCGAAAAAGGGGAAAGTTGTTTATTTTATATAATAAGTCTCATGATACTCTATTTCTATATTAGAAAAGAATTCACGTAATTAGGAGAAAATATAGAAGGTAATTAATTTAACTCCCATACAAAAGATTAGTTGCGAAAAAAGTTAGTTGTGAAAAAAGTTAGTTGATACCTCAAACTTGGATAATTGAGTTAATATATATAGTTATTCATAATCAAGCATATAAGACTTCTATCTGTATTCACTTTGTTAATTTAATTTTTTATTAATTAGAATTATTCAAGAGATTGGCATTAATAATAGTTAAAACTATAAAACCCGAATTTAATTTGATCCTAATTAAATTAAGCACTTGAAGGTAGCCCAAGAACTGCTAAAACAGAAGTTGTTTGAGTAGGGACAATTGGACAAGGCCTGGGGGAAGGCATGAGTCCTCTCTCCTTCTCTTTTCTCATTTGCAAGTACCACCTCCTTGGAGAAAAGCAATATTTCTATTCTGGCAGTGAAATTTCTGCTTCATGCATAAAAGTCTAACTTTTCACTCATAGGCTTATGTGCTTCTGCATTAGGAAACCCCACCAACTACAAGATCTTTATCAACTCTTTGGAGGAGCACACCAACTCAGTAAAGCTCCAAAATCCATATAACCTTATTGGTACCGACTTGAGTGATAGGCCATGACATAGAAGTAGAATGCCATGGGACAAGGCAATGGTAGGTTCCCCACACGCCTGCCCCCTCCCCCTTGAATTCATCTCTGCTAACAAATAAGAAGCAGAGGTGTTGCATCACATCATTGATATTCCCTGGAATATATATATATATATATATATATATTCTTTGAATGCTGCAGACATAACTAAAACATGGATGTCTTTCAATTGTAAATTTCCACAGAAGGGTAACTTGGTACTAAAACTCCTGCCGTCATGGGGTTCAGGATAGAGTAAGACCCATTGTGAGTGTCAAAAAGGGTAACCTAATCCTAGTTTGTAAAGTTCTCATGGCGGGATCCGGTGAAAGCCTGCACACGAATGGGTCTGTTGTAGGCAACCTTTCCTAGCATGTATGGAGGTTGATTCCAAAACTCTAACCTTTGGCCTGTTAATCACCCTACATTAATTCTAGCCATTTTACAAAAGGCTTTCCTTCATTGTGGATCTATTGTAAACTATATATATAGATAAGTTGAAAATTTAATGTTTGTATGATCATTTTTATTTAGTGATTGTTGGAAATATTTCCAGGATACTAGTTGAGTGCTTGGATGATGTTGATGCGGAGTCGCTCAAAAGTGCTGCAGAATATTTAATGGAAACATTAGCAGATCCAGCTGCTATTGTCCTGGGCTCGTGTCCAGGTGAAGGGAAGGTTAGTCTAGTGGCTGCTTTTACTCCAGGGGTGGTTGACCAGGGGATTCAGGCAGGTAAATTTATCGGACAAATAGCAAAATTGTGTGGTGGCGGAGGAGGTGGAAGGCCCAATTTTGCTCAGGCTGGTGGGAGGAAGCCTGAAAATTTGACTGCTGCTCTCGAGAAGGCTAAATCCGAGCTTATAGCTAATCTTAGTGAAAAAGGGAACTGAGTCCACCGGCACATGGCAAATATTCTTTGTTATGGAGACTAAAAGTACAGCACAAGAGGGACGGAAGCTTCAGTGAAGAATTTTCATTTAATGGAAGTTTCCAAATAATGTATAGGACGTTGTAAAAATGCGACTGTATGTAGTATCCTGAAACAAGCAGGGGCCTGTACTTGTAATTTTTGACTTGTGCATCTCAGATTTGATGCAAGCTTTGTAATTACACTATACATGAAGACCGTGTATAAACTCGACGACTCTTTGATAGGCACGGCAACCTAATCCACAACTGTCTCCACTTGCCCCGACTTTGACGAGGAAATCCCATTATTTTTTAATTTATGGATTAATAATCAATTTACTAGGTCTATATATAAATCATTGTAAATGTATGTCTTAAAACTTTGAATGATGAACAGAAAAAAATATGGTTCAAAATTGCTAGAAATCAATAAATCGAAAAGTTGTCTGGCCTGGGTGGTTTGCAGGTATTGGGTTTAGTTGGTTTAGTTCATGAACTTGTTTCATGAATGTTAGAATATTTTATATTAAGTTAGAGACAATTTAAATTAATACAAAAGATATTATAATATTTTAAATTAATTCAAAATATATTGTAAGATATTTGTAATATTTTTTTATATTACAAAATATATAAAAGATACTTTAAAATATTTATATTATTTTAAATTAACTTGAAAATATTATAAAATATTTATAATTTTTTTATTCTAATAATTAGTGGGTTATGTTTTGAGCCTATTAAGGATTCTTTGAATTTTAACTGTGTTTCTATCATTCTTATTTTAATCACCTTTAAAATTTTATCAACAGAAGATAGAGGAAAGAGTTAGAAATTTTCGGTAAACTTAGAGATAATGGTTGAAATTAGAGATAATGGTTGAAATTCCGTAGAGTTTTTTGAATTTGAGAAACCTTTAGAGATAACTAAAGGATTGAGAAACACTTATAAATATCTTAAATTTGTGTGATTTATATATTGAGAGTTGAAGGATTGAGAAACACTTGAATAAAAATAGAGTTTGTTGTGAGAATTTCAGAGACTTGTTTCTTATAACCCATTTGTAATCTTTTGTAACAACTTTTAGAAGTATAGTGAATCAGAGAGCTGATTTCTTTTTAGAGTAGATCGTTTGATCAAACTGGATAAATAAATTATTATATTTTTGTCATTTATCTTTTTTTGGCTGTTGTGATTTTGATTTCACTTTTGGTAGGTTATCGTGTTGTTTTATGCCATTTATTTTGATTGTTATTGTTCTTTGTCTACACAATAAATTTTTTAGTGTGTTTGAACTCTGAGTTATTCTACCAGTTTTTCACAATATGTGGTGTCCACCGTGGAACAAAGCGAATATTATTTACAAGTGAGCACCACAAATAATTTTTTTTCGGAGACAATGATTTTGAGTTGTGGAAATTGAAGATGCAAACATTTTTAATTCAAGAGAAGATGGGAGCATTGAAGTAGTGATGACAATGGGGAGAATTTGGACAAGGTACTATAGTAATCGTTCTCATACCCACAGTTTGAAAAAATCCCCATACCCGAGCTCATACCTACACGGGCACCAACGTTTGTACTCGTACTTGTACTTTATGGATATCTAAGTATCCATACCCGTACTAATTTACCGCATTTCTAATAAAAAATAATCGGTCAATTATTATTTATCATGTCATTTTAAGTTTTCAATAACATTAAAAAAATTAAAGGATGTTATTATTCAGTTAAGAAATAAACAAATATTTATATTAAAATACATATAAGTTTAAAAGTGATACATTTATTAAAATTGATAAATTATCACGTGTACATAATAATAAAAATAAAAATATATAATATGTATTGTGTGGATATGAGACATGGTGGGTACTAAGACTCCCGTACCCGCTTATTTTAGTGGATAATTGTCTGTTCTCATGTCTGTGTCTATTTTTTTTGCAGGTTTTTATCCTACCCGTTGTGGGTAACTTTTACGGGTAACCATTAAAGATGAGTTCAATTGACATCCTTTGAAATTATGTTTCCAAGGGGACAAATGTCAAGCACGATGCTCCGACAAAAGGTTTGTTGTGAATCAGATACCTTTAAACAAAGTATACACGGTTTCTTAATGATCAAGAAACACACAAGGGTTAGGGTTAACAAAGAAAATAAGGTAAAACAACAAGGAACAACAAGGATTGGTTATTAAACTGTTATTCTTTCCTTTCTCTTTGAAAAAGATTACAAGTATACAAGAATAACAAAATAACCTCTCTCCCTTGAAATTAGGATTTTATCTTCCTATTTTTCCTTATTCTCAAGATTGAGAAACTAGCATCCTATTTATAATAAAATAGCACACTAACCTAATGGGCTTTTTAACAATTACCCATTACAAGCTAACTTAGGGTACAATCTAACTTAAACAATTGGGCTTACAAGCAAGACCCAATTCAACATGCTAACAACCTTAGCAATATTTACTCATGCTAACAACCTTAGCAATATTTACTCATGCTAACAACCTTAGCAATATTTACTCATGCATGTTAGAACAAACTTCGACTACAACACGCATTACTTGCGAACAGACTTCGACCACACTAGAGTTCGATCCAATGTCTCACAAGGTTCGACAAGATACACCATAACTACTATGATAACAGTTATTAGATGATGGAGTAGAAAAGCAATAAACAACACAGTCAATTGTTTACTCAATTTGATGCAACTACGCCTATATCTGAAGGGTTGAGTCCATAACCCAAGAAAGGAAAACCACATATTAGTAGTTTAGTCCAATTAGTCTTACAAGAAACAACAAACTCTATGTTGTCCAATGTAATTTCCTAAAATTTTCCAATGACTTTCTATTTAAAGCCTTTCCCTAAACATGAGAACCTGCTCACTTTCTTCTCTGTCATAAAACCAGTGACAGGGGTAAACATCCAATAAACCCTAGTGATTAACTTTAATGTTAACAAGATAAAAGAATGTTGAATATTACAACTTAACTATACAAACCTTATATGCCAAGTTACTGAAACATAGAAGTGTACATAAAAACAACAAGGATTCTTGTAAACCCTAACACTCTAAGATCTTTAATAGGAGTACTTGCTTTTCAATGTAGGTTTGAGCTACTTATATAGCAAAATAACTCTGAACTTTTCTCTTTGGATAATATCTTTAATTTCGTCTAGAATTTATGCAAAATCTATTAGATGTTTTATTTGCTCATTGAATATCTACAACAATATATAATTTTTTTAAATTTAAATTCAAATTAATATTCATCCCGCTGTTAAACAAATCACCTAATCATATTGTTAAATCAATAATAATAAATCTTTTACAAATCTTCTGTATAACATACTCTAAAACGCCTGTTGCATAAGGCTCATATGTCGTACCAACATGCTGGAGCATCGCGCTCATCATGTGTCCTTTCTGCTACTTCATACAACTTTAGCAAGCTAGACCAATCTTGAATACTTCTCCAAATTGTTGTTTTGCTAAAGTGTAGCCAATCCAAATGGCCATTTCAATAGGAACAACATCCCTAATTAAAGAGTGGGACATCGACGCCTCCACGCCAAACATAAGGAGAGAAGAATGAGATGACATATAAGGTTAGAAGTGTCATTATCTTGTGCCTCAAGGATAAAGTTCTAATAGAAGTAGTCAAAGAGAAGAGTGCGACTTTGAGGTGGGAAAAAATTGAATCATTGTGTATAACCAAATCTTTGACTCACATGTTTTATTTCAAACAACAATTCAACTCATTCTGAATGGTAGAAATCAAATCCATAGTAGAATAGTTGACAAAATTTCAAAAGCTTATTGATGATCTTGAGAATATTGAAGTGAAGATTGAAGACGAGGACAAGACTCTACTTTTGTTGAGCCCATTTTCCAAATCCTTTAAACACTTTAATAATGTACTTATTTATTGTAAACAAGATACTAGTACTTTGGTTGAAGTCCAAACACTTATGAGATTCAAAGAATTTTCAAAGGTGAAAGATTTGAAAATTGACGTTAATGGTGAAGGCTTAATTTTTTTAAGAGGAGGAAATAAATGTAGATGGATGTCTCAATCAAAGAGGTTTGACAATTCAAGGTTAAAATATTTTATTTGTCAGAGACACAATCGCTTCAAGAGGGATTGTCCCAAGAGGGAGGACAATGAAGATTTTTTTCTTCAGATTATAGTTGCCTCCTATAAGGATAATTATGAGAGTTTTTGTGCATATAGTGGTGTCAAGTTTGGAGACTGAAAAAGGTTAGATCTTAGAGTAAGGTTGCCCTTATCCCATGTGTTTAAGAAAAGAATAATTTGATATTTTGAAGTTGGAGCAAGGTGCAGTAGTTCTCTTTGGTGACAAAAAGGCTTACAAGGTTTATTGTATTAGTACGGTCAGACTTAAAATGTTATATGATCGTGAGTTTCTTCTTTACAACGTGAGACATGTTTCCAAATTCAGGAATGTTGCACCCCAAATTTGTCCTACCTTTACATGGTTTCTAGTGCCACTTTATTTTGAATGAATAAAATGGCACAATTGGCAAGAGACCGTGTGTAAGGAGTTGTGAGTGTGAGAGGTCAAGAGTTTGAATTTTAAAAAATATTATTTTTTCACTTTTTTCCATATTATTCATAAAAACATCCAAAAATCATAAAATTAAAAATATTAGAAAAGATTTTATTCTTTTAAGTTTGTTTTAGTTTGTTTTTTAGTTTTGACTAATTATTTAAGTTGGGCTTTAAAATAGGCATTAGGTTAGAGTTAACCCTAGTTTGTTACCTATATAAACATGAGTTGCATTTGATAAAAGGAGAACGGAGGAAAAAAAGAAAAAACGGCGGCCGTTCTCACGACTTATCAGAAAAATCTTCGAGGCTTCATCATCATCTCAATCAGAAGAAGTTTCGGAACCGCGAGAAATCCACCTCCGAAAATCAACCGTCCGTCACAACAAAAGCAGAGAA